CACCGATTCCCCGGTATTTCCTCATGCTACCCTCACCCCTCACCAATTCCCCGGTATTTTCTCATGCTACCCTCACTCCTCACCGATTCCCCGGTATTTCCTCATGCTACCCTCACCCCTCACCAATCCTCATCCAATATCCTTTCCGAGATATCACGCTACTATAACGATTGGTTGGGAGACAAATTGCGAAAGGTTTGATACATTTTCTTTGTTGCTTTGTTCTCGTCTCGTCTCCTTCTGCATTCTTGTTTGAGGTTTTGTCGTGGTACTTGGATACCTGTTGATTTATACATTTGCTGACTTGAGCCATTCGACTGTCTTATTAGCTTCAGTAGTTGACGAAGTAGTTATAAATTTCAAAGCTGAACAATTAGAATGGTACTGATACATTCGTTTCATATTTGATATAATTTAAACATTTAATATACTGAATTCGAACTTTTTTGTGTTTATCTTTGCATTAAATGCCACACCACATTTTATCGCAAATGTTCACTGATTTTACGTACAGAACTTGGCTTATCTTGATGAAGAAATTCCAGATGGTCTGAAATTCCAGATGGATAATTTCCTCTTCTTGTATGTACTACTATCTCTTTTCTGCAAACAGTCAAAATTGAACGTCAAAAAACTGTGTACTCTATCATACCATTCCTTATTATGATAATGACTTTATCATAAATCATTTATTATGAAAAATAGAAAAATAGTCCATTGTCGTTGTAATTTTTCGTTGTAATAAATACTCAGGAAAGTCAAGAGAGGTTTTTAGTTTTACCTTAGTGGTAAAGTAGATTATAATTACAGTTTTTTATGAACCATGTTTCTACTAAACGCTACAATCTTGATATTTTTGCCTTTTCATAATTAATATTTTTTGGTTTCATGGTACCAGTTTGATATATCCATGACTGATGAATTCTCTTCTGACATCTTCCTTTTCCTTCATATACTAGTTCATATATTCCTGTTGAAATATATCTCACACATAAATCTTGAAAACAGACTTTGTTTCGAGGTTTTGCAAGTTGTCACCAAACCGTGACTTTTAGGATTGAATACAGACGTATGGTGAGACATTTGCAGATTTCCGGTTTTTGTCTTTTATTTATTCTTCCACTTTTCAGAATGTTTCCCGGTATGATTCTACGAAATGGTTCTTCTTTTTTCGGCCTCCCATTCCGCTTTTCGGATGGTTCTATGATATGATTTGAAACGGATCCTTTTTTCTTTATGCTCATTGAGCACTGTAATTTTTCATGCTTTCCGCACTTATAAAATCTGCAAAGATAATTTCATAATATGTTTTCTGTAATAACAGAACAGTATCTGTTGCATTTCTTCCATCTATCATCACACATTTTCTCCATGATTTCTCTGAAGGATTAAATCTCATTAATCATTAGGGTATAATCTGTCTTTTAAAATTTCTTTTTTCATTGTATTCCTTCACAGCAATATATGATCATTCGTTTTCTAATGTAATACTTGACTTCCAAAATATACTCCTTCAAGATTTACAGCATTTAATTTGAAACTTTAAGTATTTTAAATATTAATTTA